TTGCTACTCTCTATGACCTCAGACTAAAGAAAAAATATTTGGTAAAAAAAAATGTATATATATATACATACATGTATTATTGCATATCCAGTCTATCTCAGGCTGAAACAAAATCATGGTATGAGTGTTTTCAGAATGCCTTGAACACTAATGAAGTAAAATTGCCAGTCCTAAAACTAAGAACATTTTGTTATTTGGCAATTCAGTGCCTCCAAATTCTACGGAGGAATGTGCTTTTGACACAGCCTTTTTTCTGTGTTTTTGTATTCTTTTTATCTGTTTATTTTTTAAAATTACAAATCTGAAAAATTGAAGTGGCAACTCAGAGGAGCAGTGTTGTCAAGAGAACACAAACAGGAAAATAAAGACTAAATCTACCATGCTGCGAGGAGCAATGTATAAAAAGAAGAAGAAGAAAAAAAAAACAAAAAAAACAATAATAACATATATACATATATACAAGGACAGATCCCAAACATGTCTTACCATAGCTTCCTTTTCGGCATGCAACGGGAGTTACAACAAATAAGATCTTACACTTATTTCTAATGATCAAAATTTTTCTCTTTGAAACTTGTACTAGATGCCTAGTACTTACTCTGATTCATGCAAATGATTTCTTTTTCAAAACAGCTACCTCGTTGATTCACAGCAGCAACAAATGTAAAGATAATCTCAGAAAAATAAGAAATCAAAGATTGTACAGTTCATACATCCAAATTTCGTGTCCATGAGCAAAGCAGCAGCAATTAGGTACATTAATCTTGATTCTTTTCTCATGTCTCTCCATCACTACCAAGGTTTCTAGAATGACCTGCTCACATCAGCAAAATAATCCTCACTGCCATGGCAATTGTGTTTGGAAGTTCATTTACTTGAAACAACAGCCTTTTAGCCCTGGGTACATGTAACCCTTGTTTAATTTTTTTAATAAACCTTTTCAATGGAAAAATGGCTGAGGTTCCTCAGCCTCCTATCTGACATGCTGCATCCTTACAAGATATTGTGTCTAGTCCTGAAAAAATACTAAAACGGTCATCTTTTACATTAAACCTGATCAGATTGAATAATCTTTTGGGATATCTCAAATAAATCTTACAAATAAATAAAGTTGCAAAAATATGCCATCTAAGCTACTTATGACAATAAATCATTCTATAGTCATTTTAAAACACTTTCAATTATCTCACTGCTGATAAAGTGACTTTGAGAAACATTAAAACAACTGAAAAAAATCCTTTTGCTACAACTTTGTCAAAGTATCAAATATACTTTTGTCAAAAATCAGTCACATCAAGTATCAAAATATACTAATTTCTAATAAGGTCTACATTTTATCAAAGGGTAAATCAGCTGTGAGCATCATCTTACTTTGTTTTCTAGTAATACTTTTACCAGACTGCATATGCATATTCATAGAAAGAGTGAAAAACAATATCAAGTAACTGATTACATGTAAGAAGATTTATACGAAAGCACAAAAAGTGGAAAAACATCACCAGTGCAATAAAAATAATTCTGTTTTTTGGAGACAAAATTGGAAGCAAGGAATATGGCACTGTATATTATAAACACACACACACACACACACCACACACACACACACACACACACACACACACACACACACACACACACACACACACAGCACACACACACACACACACACACACACACACACGTACACGTACACGCACACGCACGCACGCACACACACGCACACACACAGGCACATGAGCACACAGGCACATGAGCACACACACACACACACACACACACACACACACACACACACACACACACACACACACACACACACACACACACACACACACACACACACACACACGCACACACTCACACGCACACACACGCACACACTCACACTCACACTCACACGCACACACGCACACGCACACCACACACACACGCACACACACACACACACAAACATACACTCACTCACTCTCCTGTAACTTCCTCACTTTTCAAGACTTTGGGTATCCAACATATACATTGAAGAATAAGAAAAAAAAGCATTATAATCATACATATAACAAAAATATATACAAGTCTGAAAACAATTCAAATTCTTAAACACTAATAACCAAAATCCCACTCGTACTGTTATACAATTTGTGCATGTTAGTGTATGCCTATCTTTCCTGGTCAGTCAGCATTTTCCTGTATTACCTTTTGTGGCTTCAAGGCAATAAATCAGCCTTCTAGATCCTTATCCAAAAATGAAGATGAGCAACTTGTTGAGCTTTTCAAGCCACTTTAGATTTGACAAGACTCAGGTCCGTCAAGGAGTTCAGGAGAGCCTGAAGGTCGCTTTCCACCTGCTGGCGCGAGTCTGAGAGAGACAGCTGGCTGGTGAAGGACGTGAGCAATTCAGCCTCTTCCGCATTCCCTGAGCATTCCAAGTAGGTTTGCATCATTTCAATAACCTGAAATATATTTGGCTGTATCAAAATCAATGCAACCTAGATGAAGAAACAAAAAAAATGTGAAAAAAAAGAGAGAGAGAGAGAGAGAGAGAGAGAGAGAGAGAGAGAGAGAGAGAGAGAGAGAGAGAGAGAGAGAGAGAGAGAGAGAGGAGAGAAGGAGAGAGAGAGAGAGAGAGAGAGAATAAGTGAAGACATTTCTCAAAACCTAAAAATGGGGGTTCTGGTCATCTGGTCAATTCAACTTATCAGCCGTCAAACTCTAAACATTTTGTCCAAAAACATGTCCTCTCACCTGGTACACTTGCTTCTTTATTTCTTGTGAGGAAGAATTGCTGTCTCTCTGAAGTAGTTTGAGTTTTGAGCGGGCAAGATGGAGTGGAGAATAGCCCTGGTTGTCGGGCTGTCTCACATCAGTCCCTGTGGAAAGGCATTACTGCGTAAGAGAGAGGAATCATTGAAAAGAGAGAAGGCAGGATTGCAGGCTGGCATGAGTATGCTAAAGATGGTTTGCTTCTAAACCTCTACATATCTGCCAGACTGCATAGCATGAAATCTGCAAACGTCCTTAAACTCAACTAAAGGATGTAGTTAATGATAGAGACGGTAGAAACAAAAAGAAAGAGGTATTGAAAAGAGGAGGATTAAGAGGGAGGGCAGAGGAGAGGGAGAGAGACAGAGGGGAAAGAAAGAGTGAGAGAAAGAAAGAGAGGGAAAGAGAGAGGAGAAGAGGAGAGGGAGAGAGAGAGATGGAGAGGGAGAGAGATGGAGATGAGAGGGAGAGAGATGAGATGGAGAGGGAGAGGGAGAGAGGGGAGAGGGAGAGGGAGAGGGGAGATGAGAGAGGGGAGAGGGAGAGAGGGGGAGAGGGGAGAGGGAGAGAAGAGAGAGGAGGAGGAGAGGGAGAGAGAGGGAGAGGGGAGAGGGGAGAGGAGAGAAGGGGAGGAGGAGAGGGAGAGGGAGAGGGAGAGGGAGAGAGGAGAGAGAGAGAGAGAGGAGAGAGAGGGAGAGAGAGAGGAGAGAGAGAGAGAGAGAGAGAGAGAGAGAGAGAGAGAGAGAGAGAGAGAGAGATGAGAGAGAGAGAGAGAAGAGAGAGAGAGAGAGAGAGAGAGAGAGAGAGACTTGCCTGCCTTCAGAAGTAGGGTCACAGTAGGGATATGTGACGTACACGCAGCCAGGTGAAGTGGGGTGTTCCCTACGCCATCACGCTGATTTGGATCAGCACCATGTTGTAGAAGCAGTCTGCATGAAAAGTGACAAAGAAATATGCACATGGGATGACAAAAATAATGCTGGTCATATCATGCTCACTCTATAAAAACAGTTTTGACTCTAAAACTAATTTCTCATAACCAGACAGAAATTACTGAAAATCTCCTTTTGTAAGCACACGCAAGTTTATTATACACAATCTTTTAACCCCTTGGAGTCAGTTGTTTCACAGCAATCACACAGACCAAAATACAGGCATTAGACTAACATAAGCGCCTGATCTTATGGGTGCGTGGGTTGTAGACTGGGTGTGCGTGAAAATTCATTTGCAGTGACTCTTTCCTTCCCCTTTGCAATAATATTTTTTCTTTTAATGCTTAAGTTTGTAGCTTTTTTGCCATTTTCCAATGTCCATATTTGTTACTTGATTTACTTTATCCAGACAGTAATAGACTTGCACTAACTCCGTATCATCCCCTTTAGGTAGTTCATAAAATAGAAAAATAATTAACATTTTGTCATTTCTGTCATTTTTTCTCATAATATTCAATTTTCTGTTATAAAAACTGTGCCTCCAGTCACAGCAGCCAGGCATAGGATGCTGAACATGGAAATGGCATCCTCCCTGCAGCTGTCACTCTTCCAGTCGTGGGTCACGGACAATGCATTGCACACTCGTTTGTCAATGAAAATAGTGCAAAAGTCCCTTTCCATACGTCAAATGAGTCTAATCACCCTCCAAGAGGTTTGAGCACTTGTGAGTCTTTTCCATCACCCCGACCTTTAGTCTAAATGCTCATGATGGCAAGTTTGCATTACCCAGGACCACAACAAGATTTTCCCATGACATGTTTATGTTACCAGCCCTTCAAGCCAAACTTTTTCATGACGTGACGTGATGGATCAAAGGGTGAGTGTGAGTGTGCATGTGTATCCTTTATAAATTGTCAAATATTATATCCATTATATCACAAATTAAATGCCATCTCCTAACTGATGACGTGAAACTACACCTTCCTATCAACTGATGAAATGATAATGTTAAAATTCTCACTTTGCTATGTCTGTGTAACCTTTGGAGGCGGCAATGTGCAAGGCTGATCTCTCCTTGTCATCTGTAACTTTTGGGTTGACGCCTTCCCTTAAAAGCTGCTCTACTGTTTCAACATTATTCAAGCTAGCAGCAATCCGAAGTTTTCTCTCTTCTGGAAATGAAACAAAACATATAAATAATCTATCTATCTATATCTTTAATGCTCTTCTAGATAAGTATATATGCCTATTAATCAGTATATCTATTCTTCTATCTGGACACTACATATATATGTCTATGAAACCCATGTTCAACTGTATTTTAGTCTCTTAATTGCATTCACAATTACTTAGTCACTATAGAGTCAATTACTATTCTTACCAGCCTCTCCTATTTATCCTTTTCCTTGAATTTTGGAAAGATTCTTTTATCTTTCTTTATATAATTATTTCAATTACATTATAAAAACAATGTCAATAATAATAGTAACAGTATCCAGAATAAGAGCTTTAGAAAATGAAAACATTTTTCCTGCAAATTTGAGAAATGGAGAAACAAGGTGAAGTCCCATTGGCCTAATAATAGACTCTTGGCGGCTGATATGGGTTGACATGTCTACATATTTGTCTATATGCATCCATATATTGAGGCACTTAGTCACAGAAGGCCTGAAGTCCTCAATTATATGTCATCAAATCATATAATTGCTGCTCTTTAAAGTGGAAAGACATCAGAATCATAGGAAATTACTAAACTTTAAAGAAAACTTACTTGCTTTATTGGACAGTATCTGATAATGCTGTTGTCTCATTCTCAGCCGAAGGTTTTTCAATTTTTTCTGGAGGGTGTTATTTTCATATGGAAGCACTGCATACCCTTGAGCTAAAAGAGGAAAGAATATTACATCTATATCACTACTCTGACAGAAAGGAACAGCATCAGAAGAAAAATAAGGAGATAAAATCCAATACCTACATGATGCAAAAATAATTATATAGCAAACAAAAAAAAAATAGAGAAAAGCGAGAAGAGAACGCACCCAAAGCTCCTATTAATTATCCCCCCCAAAATATTCCTGTTCATTACTACAACAAAATTTTTAATGTGCATTCCATTCTGCTTCCAAATTCTTTCAGTCTACAGCAGTAATTGGTGAATTTGGACAGTAAGGGGATTGTACATAAATCTAAAAAACTTGTTACAAGAGTAAAATTCCAACAAACAAATCCTTTTATATTGGACTTCTATTAACACATAGTGATAACAAGAGAAAAGCCAATAATATGATCATACTTATCTGGCTGAGATACAAAAAAGGGTCCTCAATAAAAAAAAGTTACAAGTGAAAATTACTAAACGTTCGCTTGGCACACTGACAACCTTCAACTCTTCAACTTAATTTTGGGAACAAAAACATAAACACAGAAACAAGTAGACACACACCAACTTAAAATAAAAATGCATTTCAACATGTACTAATTTTCAAAACACACATAGGAATCCAATGCATATCATCATCAGGTCCTCATGGGGAACGTTAATTCTTTCATATATAACTGAAGCTAATAGTTTTAACAAAAAAACATCACTAAACTTACAATAGGCTTCATATCCACGACTCAAGCACATGGAAGGCGAGACATTGGCGAAAGTTAAACCAGACGGAGGCTCCAATTCACAAGATGTTACTTCCCCGTCTTGTACACCATTGCCACTCTCGTAGAGGGGGAAGTGGAGTTTTAGCCGACTCCCTTCAGGAAACTCCGTCTTCGGCTGTTGGATAAGAAAATGCATATACAAACTGCTTATCTGTCTATCTTTCATATATACATATACATGTACATGTACATATACATACACATATACATACACATATATTTATGATATGGACACACTAAATTATACACATACACATATATACATATACATGTACATGTACATATACATACACATATACATACACATATATTTATGATATGGACACACTAAGTTAACTGCAAATTGAGTATCCTATTCTTATAGATGACAAAAAATTGCAGTAGTCAGTACAAGAAATAATCTGCAGACATGAACAGAACTCCCAAACTCCACAAATAAAGGAAAAAAATTGCAGAAAACGGCACTCTCGGTACTCCTGAGTTTCATCTCTACCTTGCTGTGCATACCGAGGTGAAGACAATGTTTCCTGGGGAGTGTTGGGGGACAGAGCCCCTCATCAACCCTCGAACATAACAAATTACAGAAACTTATATTGGCGAATAAATTTTTTGACATGGAGTTGGGGACTTTGGCGAGAGCGTCCACACTATAAAGAATTACCCTTTACAATATGTAACAGAAATGTCATAGATGAATCTGACAATCTCATATAGCTACAGTTTACCTTGTTCACAGTGATGTGTGCAATTGCAAAGGGACACTTTTCATTTAGTGTGAAGTGAAAAACAAGGAGGGTAGCAGGAAAACTGCAAGGTAAAATATGAAAGAAATGTATATAATAGGTCACTAAATCATCTAATGGATGGTACTGTGGTACCTGAGACCCCCCCATGAGGAAAATGCCACCCCCTAACCTCGATTCTGGAATACATCAATTACTTCATAAATTTACATCAGGATGGAGCACATAACCAAATTCCCTTAGATTCTCTACAGAAACCACTAAATAAACACTGGCCCTATAAAATTCTATTAATATATTTTCTTTTCCCGAACTTTGATTCATCAATTTCCACATGTAACCCTTCACTACCAATTGACTGTTTCCTATTATCCATTCACTATTTTATCAAAACCTCTCAGGAAAAG